TGTGTGTGTGTGTGTGTGTGTGTGTGTGTGTGTGTGTGTGTGTGTGTCAGAGCAGCGCTTCTCTGCTTTGTCCACGTAGGTCCTGGGGGTTAAACTTGGGTCATCAGCCTTGGTGTTAAGCAACCTGCTATGCCATCTTGCCAGGCCACCTGTCCCAGACCTAATTCCCTCTTTTCTCCTGCTTCATTTAAAGTCCTCTAGTTGAGAATTTCTGGAACTGTCTAGAGAAAAGAAACTAGAATTCCTAAGCCTGGTCCTCGCCCTCAAAGCTGGCTTCTTGCTGCTTTTATGATTTGGTTTCTCTCTTCTTGGTAATCTGAGGCCCATGCACAGCTCTGTAAATATTTCAACAAAACCTCCTATCCTCAGAGAGCAGGCAGGCTTGAAAGACTATAGATATGTGGGTCATTTTGAGACCCCGCCTACAGCAAATCAGAGGAACAAAGCTGTGCAGTGAGGGCCTAGGACTTGCTGCCACCCTAACCAATCATCGCAGCCCCCATCACCCCCTCACCACAGAGTCATGGCAGTGCCTTCCTTATCCTCAGCTATACCCTGGCAGCTTCCCTTGTAAAAACCCCCCATTTCATTGTGGGGATTTTTATAACTGTGGCCTCAAAAGAATCAGTTCCTGTGACATTTTTCTTGCACAACTTTTCAATATATCAGTAATAATATCCTTAATGTCACCCAGAAAGTCTGACCCCCGGGACCTCCCCTTCCTCTATTTGCTATACTTTTTTTTTTCTCTATTATGAAAAGAAGCTTCCCTGTGTATGTGTGAGGTTTTTGTTGTTGTTGTTGTTGTTGTTGTTGTTGTTAGTTTGTTTGTTTTTATCATATAAGCAAATTGAGTGTTAGGGTGAAGGAAACGATGATTTAATAACCCTGCTGGAAAGATTAAAGTTCCTGAAGACAAATAGATTACAGGAAAAGCTGCATTTGCTGACAACGTGGGAGAGGTCAGGAATATGACAGGAAAGGTTAAAACAGCCTTCTACATACCCTGCTGGGCAGTGGCAAAGTACAGGGACAAGGTGTTGCCAGTCTTTGGGCATTTTTTTTTCTCTCCAGGAAAGACGTTGTATGAGTGGAATGTCAAGTAGTTCCTCAACTTCCTTACACTCCCAGGTAGTCTTGTGTAAATGTTCAGAACCAATCAACCATACAATGAAACAAGTAAGCTTCATGGAGTGTTGTAGAAGGATGTAATCTCTCCTATTGCTCTCTGCTACCCCCTAAAAATGAACAGAGGTGATGCATACAGTTTTCAAAAGAGGGAAAAGAATCAGAACATCTAAATCGGCACTTTTTCTTCACATCACAGTCATAACATCCAAATGCTTTACCCGAAATGGCCATAGCAATGAAAGCAATAGCTGCCATCCTCCTTTTTTGCTGCATAAACATTGTTGTACTATTAACAAATTTGTATGAGAAAATGAAAAGACGTCTTCCTGAGATACATCACAATGATGTCTGGGGAAGCAGGAAGGAGACGAGAGGGGAGCTGACAGGTTAGTTTAAGTTGGCCATGTTTTCGTGTCAGTTTCATGGTTGACTCATTTTTCAATGACATTTAACTTCATAAATGTAATTCATGATTCTTTGGGGGTTCGCGCTACATATTGTTTGTAAAACTCTTTTGACCTCCTTTTCTATCCTTGGGGATAGAAATGTCACTCACAACCCCTTTTGTCAAATATACAGAGGACCCCAGACCAAATGAGTTCTAGTGTTTTCAGCTTCCAGGAGCTAGTGTTTCAAGGGACAGGATACTTAACTGAGCAAGGCCAATGTCCTTCTTTTAACTGTTTCTATTTATAAAGCTTCGTAAAAGCACAGAGCCTCTCCTGCCAGATAAAGACTCTAAAAACATGGCCAGAAGACCATCTGATGGAATTGGAACCAAATTTAAAATTCATAGTAAAACCATTCCCCTTAAAATTTGAATTTGGTTATTCCATCAGCCACTGTAATTACAGAGCACAGAGGGCATATTTACTGATACTACTGACCAGAGAAAATGTTGGCTCATATATTTAGATACTATAAATGGCCTTTTTGATGACATTCTAGTACTGGAGTAATAAATCTCTGTGATTTCCCTCCTTTCTTCTTACCATAATTCAGGACAGAGAAAGGAGCTAATATATCTGGCAGAAAAATCTCCTTTCCCTCTCTTTCTCTCTCTCTCTCTCTCTCTGTGCCTCTTCTTTTCCCTCTCTCTGTCTTTCTCTCCCTTGCTGTGTCTCTGTGTGTGTGCATACATCTGTTATTATCTCTTATGTTTTATTATTTTATCCATTCAAGAAAATATTATGATACATTTTGTAAATCTTTTGTCTGTTGATAACTCACCAAATACTTAAAATCGTTAATTATAGTCTGAGAGCATTTTTAGGAAATAATACACAGTATTTTGTGAGTATTTTGACTTTGCTTTAAATGGGGATAGGAGAAGAATATGAACATGATTGGTTCTGGATGAATAAGTTCATCTATTGCCAACACTAAAAGCATATTATTTCCAAAAGCAAAAAATAGCATCAGCTAGACATGGTGGTACATACCTGAAATACCAGCACCTGGGAAGCTAAAAAAGAAAGATCCTGAGTTTAAGGCTAGCCTGGGGTACATAATGAGTTCTAGGCTTGCCTTTAATCATAGCAAAACCCTGTATTGAAAGAGTAGGAAGGGGGGTGCTACACACTGTAAATATCACATAACTCCTTCATAAATGTTTAAACCCCATTTCAAAATTATATACAGATATGATCCACCCCACTGTGTGGAGCCAATTTGAAGGTATCAAAGGGTTTGCATCACCCAGAGTTCAGTTCCCCCAGTCATAATGGATCCCATTCTAAAGTGACCATAACAGTTTTAAGTACTATTATGAGCATCCATAGGTAATAATAAATAACTAAACTTCACCTTTCTGGGGAAAGAAAAAGTTACTGTTTTCCCCATGGCTCAAACAATTTGGAACTGTCTTCCATAAATGAGATCTTCCTAAAAATATCCAGATGGAATTTTCTTCATACTGAATTTTTTTTGGCCTTAAGAGAAGGATTATTTTAGAGAGCTTTGTGGAACATTGTGACTTCTAATAAACGTATAGTCCTTAGGTCTGATGCTATCAGGACTACCGAATTTATGACATAGACCTTTTCAATAATGTCATATCTAGACATGTCAATATATTCTCAATATTAAAACTTATAGGGCCATTCTCTTGTGCATAAATAAGAAAGAAAGAAGGCACCAAACATGAATGGTAGTGGACGAGCTCCTAACTAGAGGGACTCCAAAAAGTGACCATCTCATGACTAAGGACCAAAGTCTTACAAATTTCCATCTTGACATTAGGCAAGGAGAGATGACAAAAACATCCTCTGAGGATTTGAACCACAAAGTGACACAAATACACATAAAGATTAAATTATTCGCAGAATGGCTCAAAAAGGTTACAAGTGAAGAATTTAAAGAAGTCTCCAATTGACTGTGTCTCACCAGGAGATGACAGAAGGGACAAAAAAAAAAAAAAAAACCTCTGTCTCTCTTAAATAAGAATACAACAGTTCCACACTTTCCTGGCCCACAAGGCAACAACTGAGCCCTCTGCAAAAGTCCCATTCCCCGTCCTAACCCATGTTACACCAAGCTCACTTTTACACATACCGTAGAAACCTTCCCTAGGACTCTGAGGAAACCAGTCTGCCTGCTGAAAGACCTGTCTATTTAGAATGCAAACTGGATAGACCTTTAAGCTGTGACATCCCCGTAGTAAAGCTTCTATCCTCACTAACTGCCCCTAGCAGGTCGCCCTTGCTTTGACTTGATTCAGTCCCAATCTCATGCGTAGCCACTCGAATCTTGAGGACAGCCAAGGAATCAGACCATGAAACACACAGGGACAATAATGCGTGGAATCTACTATTAACTTGCCCAGTAGGCAGTCTTGGGGAGGGCCATTGTCATGGCTGAGAACACTGGCCCATCCATACTACTCTGAACCCCAGGTGGGAAGGCTATTCTCTGATCAGTTACATGCCCAACTTTCACCTCTTGCACTCTGCACCCTCACTTCTCCCTCAATAGGTGTGTGCTCAGAGAGAAAAACTAATTTTAAACTTAGCCTAAGTGAAACTTAATTAGGAAAGTGACTCATTTAAGAGTTTCATGGGTTTTCTTTTTAATCTTTCGTTCCCTTTCTGAAATCAGGGACTCGTGAGGTTAGAATGAGCCTCTCTGCTTTCTTTTAGAGAGAAGGCAATCAGGCTTGGCCATACATGCAGAAGACACCACATGTATTTCCCTGATCCTGCTGTGGATCAGTCAAGGTTGAAGGTTGGAAAGTGCAGCATACAGGAAGTGGGACGGCACACCTTTCTATCTGTGAAGAGTCTGTAGCCGGCTCTTGCTAACTGAGGAACTCTTGCTAACTCTTGTGTCTGAGGAATTCCCTTGGTTCTCTTGTGTCCTCTTTAAATTTCGAGACTTGGTATTCTAATACATAAAAGCCACTTTTTACGGCTGCCAAGAGACCACTTGAGGAATACCTAGGCACTTCCATTTGCTTGTGTGGGTAGGAGTCGGCGCCTTGGTGGCCCATTCTTCATGAATGACCAGTGTTTCCCTTCTTGTTGTAGTGGATTGCTTGGATCCCACCTGCTCCAGCCATGGCGTCTGTGTGAACGGAGAGTGTCTGTGCAGCCCTGGCTGGGGAGGTCTCAACTGTGAGCTGGCGAGGGTCCAGTGCCCAGACCAGTGCAGTGGGCACGGCACTTACCTCCCTGACTCCGGCCTCTGCAGCTGTGACCCAAATTGGATGGGTCCCGACTGCTCAGTTGGTAAGCCAAGAGATCCTCTCCTCACTTTCCCAGACTTGAACCTTGTGTTTCATCCCATTCTGGGTGGATGGAGATCTCGCCTTTATGCTCAAGCTTGGGATAAGAGGGACTTTGATCAGACCTATGGTGGCTTTCTCATTCTTATCTCCTGGATTTTGTGGTCTTTGGGAATGAAAAGAAAAATCAAATGATTGTGTTGGTTCCTGTCCCTCTTTGGTTCCATCACCACAAATGGATGACGGGCCCAGGGGGGACACTTCTACTTGTGTTATAGGTTTTCTTATGTACACTCCCTAAAGGTAGCAGAAAACAAAACAGAACAATTCAGTCCCAGACAAACAGAATAGAATGTCCTATAAAACAGAAAAGAGGCTCCCTCGGGGTGTCGTATGAACATGTTATAAAGCTCTGCAGTTCTCCAGTGACAGGAAAATAATGAAGTTACGCTGTATACTTTATTTTCCTAAAATTAAGAGTATGTGTCTTACTTCCCAAGTGACCTCAAAAAAAAAAAAAATTGGAACAGTTCAACAGTTCAAGCCGGTCCCAACCTTCCCAAGAAAGGTTCTGCTCGCTGACGAGTGCCTATCCAAGCAAGCCATCATCATGTCGCCCCCTTCCTTGGGGTGCTGAGACAGCTGTCAGATTGCCATGGCAATCAGAAAGGGAAGAGATGTGAAGCTTTGCCTACAATGGGGAAAGTAATGAACCTTTCATTGCAAAAAGAAAAGGAAAGGAGTCAGCTCACTCACCCCTGGCTTCATCTGCTGGTGGTCCTGGCAAAGTTCTGCAGAGGAGGGTGGGAGGGGCGCAGAGCCCTGGCCCCAAGTCCCAACCGTCCTGCAGACATGGTGTGACTTTGAGCAAGTCACTTGTCCATCCCAGTGTGGTTTCCCCTCCCCTGGCATGACGAGCCATGCCTCCCTCAGTGGGCTGTTGTAAGGATGAATGTCTGGCACGTGCTTGTCCTCGCGTGATAGGTTTGGAACGCCAGAGTGAATATATCTGTCTGTCTGTCTCCTCTCCATCTCCCCCCACATAAGACTTTGAGCTCCTTTGAGAAAGAGGCTGTGCAAGTGCAGCACAATTTAGAGCGCTCATCTTTGCCGTAGAGTGCTGATCTGGGGAACATACGGGTCTGCAGGCACTGTGAGGATGGAACAGCAGGGACCCCGGCAGGCTTCAGTGGCTTGGTCAGTTCAGGCTCTCGATGAGGAAGAACCCCAGCTGAACAGGGAGTCAGGATCCACCAGCTAGTTCTTTTGCAGGAGGTGTACCTCCCAGTCAGCTTTGCCAAACGGGAGCCACGGCCTGACCTCCTCTCAGATGGTCTCAGCATCCACAAGAGCTGTTGTCACACTCCAGTGAATACCCAAATCACCCAGCAGACTTGTTAAAATGAATTGGTGAGCCCATCTCCCCGACGATACATCTAACCAATCCAACCTGGGCACAAGAATTTGCATCTCTTTACATTGATAACAAGTTCCCTGGTGATGGTGTTGCTGCTGGCCTGGGAGCCACAGGTTGAGGATCACTGTTCTAGGGGAAAAAAAAAATAATAATAATGTAGCAAAATTACCACCCAACCAGCGGAGAGACCAGCCTGCAAAGACGCAATGGCTGCTGGGCCTTGGGGCCAGTCTGGAGCCGTGTGTGTGGTCTGGCTTCCATGAAGGACTTTCACCCCTCTGTGGTGTTGAGCTGTAATCATTGTTTTTCTTCCAGAAGTGTGCTCAGTAGACTGTGGCACTCACGGCGTCTGCATCGGGGGAGCCTGCCGCTGTGAAGAGGGCTGGACAGGCGCGGCTTGTGACCAGCGCGTGTGCCACCCCCGCTGCATTGAGCACGGGACCTGTAAAGATGGCAAATGTGAATGCCGAGAGGGCTGGAATGGTGAACACTGCACCATTGGTAGGCAAACGGCAGGCACCGAAACAGGCACATATTGCTTTATTTTCATAAATCGTAGATCGATAGTGACGGTCGCGCATTGCAACTGGCTGTTCCCTCAGGGACACGTGCCCTCCAACATCCCACTGCCCCTCCAAATCTCCGTGGGGTCAGGGAAAGGGGAAGGCGAGGTTCCAGCATTGGAAAAGCCTTTCCCTTCTTTGCAGGATTCGCATTTTGGGGTGGAAAGAAACCCAATCAGATAATAAGCCCTATCCAAAGCGCTCATTTTGGGGAGGTAGCAATGCACACGCATGGGAATCTGTCAGAGGCTACAGCTGCTAATCACCCGCTATCACTGCGCCCTTATCTCCTCTCTTTCTCTCTTTCCCTCTCTCTGGCCAGATCCCTGGATCCCCAGTGCCGGTAACAATGTAACCCTGTTGTGAAGTAGGTTTGGTGTTCACAAGCCATCCAGGTCCTCTGGATAGCCAGGCACAGCTGCCATATATCCAAGCACCCTCTTGCACACTCGGCCCGGTGGTTGATGCCTGAGCCTCCCCAGCATTCCTGATATACATGGTTCCACCTCTGGACCCACTTCATTCTTCACTCAGCTCCCGCTCGGATATAAATTTCTTGATCTAGAATATCTGTAAGCCAGGCATTAGAAGGGCGCTCCTTTAATCCCAGCACCCGGGATTCCTAAGGCCAGCCTGCTCTACAGAGCGAGTTCCAGCACAGCCAGGGCTACACAGAGAGATCCTGTCTCAACCACCCCCCAAATTCTTCTTAGATCTCTTCTCTGTTAAGAAGTGATCGTTTTAAGGACCAGCATAGAGGTGTACTCTTATCACCCCATCATTTAAGAGCCTGGAATAGGAGAATCTTCAGTTTGAGATCAATTTGGACTATATAGCATGACCCCAAAACAAAACATATGCCCCAAAATAGTATATAATGGTTTTGAAGTTTCTCCATTCAGAGTTTTAGAGGTTTTTGCTGGGGAGAGAGTGGTTGTTTGGGGTTTTGGGGGGGGTTGTCATTTTGTGTTTATTTTACCATTGTTTTTGCCCAGACAAAGCTGAGGAGGCTCTAAATGTGTAAACTGTCTCTTTGATGGAGGACTGGAAGCCAATGCTTTTTTTCTCAGATAGTTAGGATTACAAGGCAATCCACCCAGCCATTTTTATTTTTTCCTCCAGTTTTTGCTCTTGTTGCTTACATAAGTCTGTCGTAGGACTCTTCCAACCAGGCTTCATAACTTACGAGCTTGCACAGACCCTTCAAGGGAGTTTCCAGCCAAGCAACTGCCTTCCCACTTCAAGTTACCTTTGAATCTAGCCATAAGTTTGTATTCCTGTCCTCTGTCCTAGCCCCGAAATCCAAACTATAGCTTGGCCATGAGAGAGAGAGAGAGAGAGAGAGAGGGAGGGAGGGAGGGAGGGAGGGGATCATGCACAGGGCTGACTGATGAGGTCAGACTCAGTTTCCCATGCTGTTCATTTGGGCAGTTAAGCAGAGGTGAGGAGAACTGACTCTGCATTCCATCTCCCTCCGTTCTATCTAATTGGCCATCTGAGGGGCAGCATGTCAATCAGGGCCATGACTATCTCACGGGGACCCTGCTGGGACAGTCTGTTGGCAGTGAATTGTTATTGCAATCTCTCAATGGTGCTCCAGGTCCTGCAACCCCTGCAGCTGCTCTCATCTCAGCTCCCTGCAGAGGCTGAGGGATAATTCGCCAGAATTTCAGGGGAGGGATGTGCACAGCCCAAGACCAAGACAGTCCTTACAGTGGCTTCCACTCTTCCAGGATTTTTGATGTACTTCTGCATGCTTGGTGTGGTTTAAAAAAAAAAAAAACTCCCCAACCCCAAATCTCTGTTGTCCCTATTGGGCCCCTCCAGAAGCTCTTGCCAATCAACACCCCTAAGGTAGATAATCCCATAAATAATCTCACCATCTCTCAACTCATATACTTCAACTACAGCTCTCCCTTTTCCTCTCTGAGAAGTAAAGGGCAGGCATAGTGTCTCCAGACAGAAGCCTATTGGCTCTGACTCCTGCTACAACCCTTTTTTTTGGTCTATAAGTAGTTCACAAGAGGGAAGTACAGGTAGACCTAGGGCAAGTGTTGGCCAAAAGGATAAACCTGGCCTGCTGCCAGGTTATTCTACTGTTTGCTAGCAAAGAACTGTTTCTGACAGTTTTAAAGCCTTGATAGAAATCCAAAAAAAAAAAATGGGGGGGTTTCTGACATTTGACAATTCTATGAAATTTAAATTTCAGTGTCCATACATACAGCATCGGCAGAGGACAACCATGCCAGTTCCTTGGCATCTTGTCAGGTGCTAGCTACACCTCAGCATTAGGTAATCACAATAGAGGATAAAAGCCCCATGAAGCCAATTGTTACATGGCCTTTTGAAGAAAAAAAGAATGTGACTGAACTCTAGATGAGAAAATTGTCTAAGTCGTGATGAAGAGAGAGATAAAAAGAAAGGCAGATGGGTGTACCCATGAGGAAGAGACACCAACTGTGGCTTGACAGATCTTAGGGCCAAAGAAAAAGAGAGAGGATGGACAGAGTAGGTGTGAGGGAAGACCAGAAACATGAGCGGAGATGTCTCTGGGGCCTTTGAACAAGAAATGGACCAATGATGGCTTTGATCTCAGTAGAGGACAGTGAGGTTGTGGCCAGCGGGAGAGCCCAGGCACTTCAGTCAAGCAGGCCCCAACTGCACTTCAGTCAAGCAGGTACAATGACCTGGCAAAGGGTGCCTCTGCTTCTTGAAACATTCAGCTTAAGTTTCACATCTCTGGGATCTGACATCCATGAGCTCTTGAGGGATGTCGATAAGGAGCCAATTTAGATGCCATATGAAGAATGGAGCTGGTGCCGGAAAGCCCCCTGGTTCAGAGTTAGAAAGGCTCTTCTATGGAAGTTAAGACTGCAACTGCCAACACTCTTTTTCTTGGGAGAAATTAGGGCTCCTCAGCTTTGTTAATAGGAACTGTGCTGTCTCTTCCTTGTTTTCTTCTCTGTGTTTTCTTAAAAAAACAGCAAATGTCCCTTAGTTGGTGAGAGTCACTACTGGAAAGCT